GGGTCTCTGGCTTATTTTTCTTGTAAGTCATTTCATTCAAGTGGACACTCAGATGTTAGGTCATCTATAACGCTTAACACATCTTAGTAATATGAAGCACTAAATGCTTCATGAACGAAGAGTGTTGGTCATTTACTCAAGAGATATTATAGTCAAGCCCACATGATTAGCATATTTGCCACTATTTCACTTGTGAGATCTTTGGAAACAAATTACTCAAAATAGTATTTAAAATTTTCCAATTATTAAAATATTACCCTGAAATGATTTTATGGATATAGCTTTACTTTCTTTGTGTATTGAACGTAGAACTTTGATCTGAGACTCCCAATTACAAGGCCTGACTTCATATTTAATAACAAACACACTGGAGCTTGATGACTAGAGATTACATATGCCATTTTATTATAGACTAAGGCCTTAGAAAAGAGGAAAGTGTTATGTATAAAGTGGGCGGTCAACACATTACAAGGTTTTATGACACATTTAGGGTAAATACAACAGTTTGCATTTTACTTGTTGAATCCTTGAGTTTAGGATTGGGATGTCTCGTTTTAGTCCAAATCTCTCACCTTCCAGATGAGGAAGTAGTAAGGTAATTTATCTGGCTTGATATGAGACAGAATAACTGAATGGGTAACAACAGGCTTCTAGAGACTTTGAGTCAGGGTCTTGGTTCTCTCACCCTTTAGCTGCATCACCACAGTTAGAATATCTATGAATTAGGGCATTTTACTTAATTCTTCCTAACCTGCATTTCCTTATCTATGAAATGGAAATGTCACGTAAATTTGTTAGTACAGATTAAGTTTCATAATGTATGCAAAACACTTAGCACAGTACACTTCAATTATAAATACTGGCATTATAAATAACAACGTTTCCAGAAGGTGTTTTCTGACCTCTCTTCTCAAATTCAGAATAATTTCTTCAAGAGATGGCAGAACTGGGAAGGAGGCAAGTCCACTTGAATTGATATCAAGAGATTATGAAATTAATAGCACATAGATATACTGTGCTCAGGCATGGCTGAGTAATTTATGTTAGTGACTAGTTCAGAAACACCATCCATTCCAATTGGAGGGTTGATTATAACAGTACAGGTGGACATTAAGGTTTCTATGAAACCTCACAGAAATCCACCAGAGGAAAAACATGTTTCCTAATCCAGGCTGTATAACAGACATATTTGCCATGACCATTGCTGCAATTTATGAACACAATTCTTTTCCAGTTCTACTGAAGGGACTCACAGATTTCTTAACTCACAGAGCTACTCCTGTCTTCTTGATGTTTATAACAATGGCTTAGATTTATATAATTCCTTTCTGTTATGCATTTTCATATGAGTTTCAGCCCAGTTCACTTACTACTCACGGTATCTCTATGTGATATGAAAAACAGATAGCATCGATGTCATTTTTGTGTGCCTGTTTCTTTGTTTTAACACAGGAGTATGAGACCCAGAGAGGTTAAGCAACTTGTCCAAAGGTCACATAGCCATTCAATGGCCACAGCAATAACACGGTAGGGACACTTAGTCCAGTGAGCTTTCCAAAGCTTCTCAAAACATAACGTGCATAACAGCATATGAAACGCTGGGGATCTTGTTACGATGCAGATTTTGAATTCAGTGAGTCTCAGGGGAACTGAGATTCTGAATGTCCAACAAGCTCCCCTAAGCTGCCACTGCTGGTAGTCTTTGGATCATCCCCCACTATACCCTTCATAATGCCCCTGCTAATACTTCCTCCAATTGTAATTGCACCCTTTGAGTATTCATTCATTTTCTCTACCATTCTATGAACTCCGTGAGGACAGCAACTGTGTTTTGTTTGCTACTTTGACCTGGCTACTCAGCACTATCTGGCAAAAAGCTACCAGTGAATATTTTTTGAAGAGTGAAAAAAAAAATAACCTATTGCTAAATATAAAGCTACAACACTTGCCCATTAAAACTCTCATTGCTTGTTGAAAAGCAATGTTTATTATGTATCTTCTCTTGTCTCAAGTCACATTATAATACCTAGTTGCAATTGCCAGCTTCCAAAATAACATAATCAAAAGAAGCCTTTCAGAGTCAACTAGTATAGACCTTCACCTCCAGCAGAACTATGACTAGGTTGCAGCTGAACTCAATCACATCCTTGGGACAATGGGCTGAGTTAATGTAAGGTACATTTTAAGCATAAGGGGAAACATAGAACAGGCAGGTGACTAAGGTTCGCTTACGCTAAGTTTGAAGGAAGCCACATTATTTCTTTCTCCCACCCTGAAGGTAATCATGACAGCAAATGAGGGTTTTCCATATGCCAGACACTGTGCTAGCTACTTTGTACCAGTCATCTCATTTCATTCCCTCTACAACCCTATGAGATAGGCACCTGATTTTATAGCTAAGGAAGCTGAGACACAAGATTATCAAAGTATAGGAAGTGAGGTCAGGGCTTGGGCCCAGGCAGTCTGATTTCAGAGTTCACGCTTGTAATCACATTTCCTACTACCTGGAAGCTCCCAGGGAGAAAAAACAAAAAACAAAAACAATTGCCTGAAGATGAAAGTGACTTTATTTGTCTGTCAGTAACCTGATAATAGGCTCTGACAAATCACAGCTAGATGGGTTTGGGAAGAAACACATCACATCAACAGGAAGTGTACCTTATACCCAAAGTAAGAGTCTGAAAATGTAGCAGAGAAAAGGTATAGAATTTTCTGCTACAGTGTTCAGTTAATAATGACTTTGACTCTCTTTGGTTTATATTTAAATATACATCATCACTGAAAGGTTAAGAGTCAGTTAAGGGATATGTCTCAAAGGTCCAGATTCCTTTCACACTTCATCAGATCTCTTATGAAACCTTAAATGAGTGATTGGGTCAAATCTGAGAAGTCATCACATGGAATAAATCGGAATTTTGTTGAGCATATGTGTCCTAAGTCAAAACACAAAAAGTCTAAAGGACAGAGAGTTTTTTGTTTTCCAAAAGTTTGAAAAGTGAAAGTTCAATACTTATATTTTAACACTGACTGCCAGATAATGCAGAAATTAAGAAAACGGGGAAGAGAAAATATTGGGTTTTTTTGCTGTTGTTGTTTTTAATTTTTATTTTAAAGATGTAGGGTACAATTCAGGGTTAGGTATACAAATGGTCATTATACAAGTAAAGTTTGGGTCTCACTTTGGTCCCCACTTCACCTGGTTTGAGATCAGGTACCCTTATTGATTAAGTGTGGCTCCCCTGGCAGTTTCCCACTACTGCCAATCCCTTTCTTGTAGTATTACGATAATTGTTCAGAGTCCACTTATGAACGAGAACATGTGGTACTCAGTTCTTTGTTTCTGTGATAGATTACTGAGTGTTGCAGATTCTAATTTCATCCAAGTTGCTGCAAAGTTCATAATTTTGTCCTACTTTATGGCTGTGTAATATTCTATGGTGTATAGAGAACACATTGTTAAATGGGACATAAGAAAAGGGTAAACGTGATCTTTCTTCTTGATAAAAAAGATTTTAAAATGCAGAATAAGTCAACAAATAGGGGCTTGAATAAAGCATTCTTGTCAAAGAAAAAGTTGATTTCTACAGATTGGATTTTAGCTACACTTGTCTTATAAAGTTATTATTTACCTTTGGAGGGAACTTGGTATTGTGAAGCCTCAGGACTTGGTTCTGGCACTTCCTAGTGATGGTCTCAGTGGCACGATTCCTTCAAGATTTAGTTCCTTCATCTGTAAAATGAGGGCAGCAAACATCTGCCTCCTAGCATTTTTGTAAGTCTTATATTAAATAACATACAGTGAGCACTTGGTCCCAAATAGAAATTCAGCACAGGGTATACCTTGTTTTGTTTTGTTTTCTCTTTTCTTATAAGTTCTGTTTTTCTAAAACAATCTCTTTTAAGTATTTCCATTCTTAACCCTAAGTCTTTGTTGATAGAAATATTTCTTACGTATTTAATTACCCAGGGTTAAGAAAAATAATCTACTTGCAAACAGATGGAATACGTGTATTTAAAAATTAGTATATTATTAGCTGGGTATGGTAGCACATGCCCATAGTTATAGCTCCTCAGGAGGCTGAGGTGGGAGGATCACCTGAGCCTGAGAGGTTTAGGCTGCAGTGAGTTATGATCATGCCACTGCACTCCAGGTTGAGCAGCAGAATGAGATTCTGACTCAAAAAAAAAAATTGGTCAGCCGGGCATGGTAGCACATGCCTGTAGTTCTGGCTACTTGAAAGGCTGAGGTGGAAGGATCGCCAAAGCCCAGCAGGTCGAGGCTGCAGTGGCCAGGAGTGTGCCACTGCACTCCAGTCTGGGTGACAGAGTGAGACTCCAACTAAAAAAAAAAAAAAAATTGGTATAAACTATTGGTATGTTGTATATAAAGATTATGCCCCCAGAATGTTAAGCTTAGTGTGTTAAAAACAAAATGAGGCGAGATGCGGTGTCTCAGGCTGTAATCCCAGCACTTTGGGATGCCAAAGCAAGAGGATTGCTTAAAAAGCTCAGGGATTTGAGACCAGCCTGGACAGCTTGGTGAGTTCTCGTCTCTACAATAAATCAAAAAATAAGTTGGATGTGGTAGCTACTTGGAATGCTGAGGCAGATGGGTCGCCTGAGTTCAGCAGGTCATGGCTGCGGTGGCCATGCGCATGCCACTGCACTCCAGCATGGGCAACAGAGTAAGACTCCAACTCAAAAAACAAACAAACAAATAAATAAGATGATACAAAATTTCACATAGGTACACATCCTTGAAATATCAACTTCACTCATACTCTTACCTATAAATTTAGTCAATACATCAAATAACACCTATTTTAAAAATCAAGAAGCTTTATGACTCAGTAGAACTTTTTTGCAAAAAAATTCCACTTTATTTTATATGAATTTTTTATAGACCACTACATACTAAACAATACACAATGCTATTTTTATTGTAATGTCCTGTTGGCTTCCAGGGTATATTGGCAATGCCACCAAGTTAAAATCACTCAACATATTAAAATACAAATTTTTATTCACTGGAACTCAATTTGACATTTACATATAAAGGAAATCAGCTTTCTAAGAAGTTATAACAACGTATATAATAGACATTAAGTCAACAAAAATAACAAACAAAATTTTTAGAAGTCGTCCCACAATTTCATCTTCCAGACTTTTGGGGGTAGTAGTAGAAATTAATATCCAGTTTTTACCAGTCATATCCAGAATACTCCTGCTTCCTATGTAAAAAACAGAAAAGCATACTCAAATGAGCACATTCATGATCCTGATTCTTTCAACTCAGTCTAATATTTCAGCTATTAAAAAAATAGTGACCAAGAGAAATCTTTCAGGGAATACTCTGTACCTATTTATAACCAACTGATGAATAAAAATATTTTTCTAACCAATGGACTCTAATATTTTTCTCCCATTTATTTTGACCACTTCAAATCATAATCACAGGTTTTTCTACATGCCATAATCTTGTCCTCCTTTCCAAAACTAACAGCTCAGGGAACATTCATAGTGGTCATTCTCTATTCCTGGTATCAGTAGTAAATTTATTTATGAAGTATCTGCAATCATTTCAGTTATTTTTATTGGCATCAGTGAAGTTGCCATTACTCTAACCTGTACTGTTGGTGTTACCAGGAAGTGAGATTTGTAGACATAAAAAAGGCAGGGAATAATAACATTTTTAAAAATAATAAACAACAAACGGTATTGTTCTTTCCTCAAGATCCTCTTTCTCATGTTTTGGTCACTTAAGACATCGAACGTTTCATTTTTTCCTCTACATTTTTGTGTTAATGAAACAAGTTTTTTCTCCTAATAGCTGGAATTTTAAAAGGTATTAATTTATGGTAAAATTTCATTTAAAATTTAAGTTTAAAAAATTTTACATTTAATTTAAATTTTTTTTCTCACACTGTTGGAACATTTTACTGAATGTCTATTAGGGAGTTTAGAACCATTCTTAATCCCTTTTACAGGATGCAAAGGTAAATGACCACTTTTCAAAGCCTTACACTGAAGTTTCTTATATACACTCAACTTAAAAAGAAAATCAAGGGCAACCCCTTGGGGTCCCTTCCCACTGTGGGAGCTTTTCTGTCCTCTCAATAAATTCTGCTTTCAAAAAAAGAATAAAAGAAAAACATCAATACCAAAAAAGTGGCAAGATTTGAGTAATAAAATATTTCATCTGTTATTTTCACTCCAAAATCAAAAAGGCAGGTTGAGTTTTAAGAGAAGAGGAGGAAGAGAGAAGGGGAGAAAGATGCATATTCCTGGTGTTGTCTTCTTCCACTTTGAGCAATCTTGATTAATTTCTGTAATAACTTGCTTCATTCCTAGAGGAGGGAATGACTTGCCCCCGATTATATAGTAATTATTGGCAAAGTAAACACCCAAAATTTTTCTTATATTCAACAATGCCTTTTACCTGTGTTTCAGTACCAAGGGACAAGAATAAGACATGGGTTTGCAAAGTGATTTTCCTTCATTCCTGTAGCTTCAACCTCAGTTCATGTTTCTTTAGTCTGTATTCCCAGGGTTACCTTCAACTCTCTCCAAAAACAGTAAGAAGAGACTGAGGTAAGAGGGAGGGAGGCGAGAAGACTAGACAATTGTTGTGGGTTGAGGAGTGAGTAGAGACCCATTTCTCACCTGAATTAATCCCAGGTAGTGGTAGGTAACACGGCTTCTCAGTTTTCTCTGAGTCTGTTCTTGCTAGAACAAAGTGCATCCAGCAAAGGTGGTCTCTTAGCAACCTTGGTTCCTGTGTCAAAGCACATTAAAAGGTTTTATTGGACAGTGAGGTAGTGGAGGAAGTGGAGGGACAGAGAGGCTACATGGAAAAACTCTAAAATTGTTTTCGTAACAAGATGGGAAGGTGATGTCAAAGCGTGGACTTTGGAAAATTTTATCACAGAATTGTGAAGCTGAAAACTGAACATTTCACAGAAAGATGAAGCTGATTTCTAAGATTTTCCTGGTGGAGCAAACATTCACCACACTTGTTAAAGAAATTATTTCCTAATAACTATTTTAAAACCATGCTTCAATATCTTCATGTCAAAACCACCACCACCACCAAAAAAAACTTATCTATGTAAAGGGTCATAACTCATGAGATCATATGTCTGCGTTTTAAGTATAATCATTCCTCTGTATTCATGGGGAATTTGTTCTAGGACCCTCCTTGAATACTAAAACCTAGAAATACTCAAGTCCTTGATATAAAATGGTGTAGTATCTGCATATAACCTATACACATCCTCTGGTATATATTAAATCATTTCTAAGTTACTAATAATACCTAATACAATGTAAATGCTATGAAAATAGTTGTTACACTGTATTATTTAGAGAATAATGACAAAAAACTCTGTATATATTCAGTGCAAACACACCTGTTTTTGCAGTTGGTTGAACCCATGGATCCAGAACCCAAGAATATGAAGGGCCAACTGTAAGTCTAAAGATTTTATAACACTTTTACCAACAAATTAGAAAATGGAGGAGTTAATTTGTTACAAAAGACCAAGCTATAAAATGTGATTGTTATATGCTATAATCATATGCATCAAGTGTTGCATAATGTTTCAGTCACCAAGGGACTAATGGTGGTCCCGTAAGATTATAACAGAGTTGAAAAATTTCTGTGGCCTAGTGAAGTCATAGCCACCATAATGTCATAGCTCAAAGCATCACTCGTGTTTCTGGTGATGCTGGCATAAACAAACCTATTGTGCTGTCAGGTGTATAAAAGATGGCCATACAAGTTATGGTACATAATACTTGATAATAATAATCAGTGACTATGTTATTGATTTATGTATTTACTATCTTATACTTTTAATCATTATTTGAGAGTGCACTCCTTCTACTTATTAAACAAATTAACTGTGAAAACAACTTCAGGCAGGTCTTTCAGGAGGAATTCCAGAAGAAGGTATTGTTCTCATAGTAGATGAAAGTTCCACGCGTGTTATTGCTCTGAAGGCCTTCCAGAGGGACAAGATGTGGAGGTGGAAGATGGTGATGTTGGTGACCCTGACCCTGTGTAGGCCTAGGCTCATGTGTTTGTTTGTGTCTTCGTTTTTATCACAAAAAAAAAGTTTTAAAGTAAAAATATATTTAAAATTTTTAAAATAGAAAAAAGATTATAGCAAGTATATAAAGAAAAAATATTTCTATACAGCTGTATAATGAATTTGCGTTTGAAGTTAAGTGGTATTACAAAAGAGTCAAAACAATACAAAAATTTAAAAGTTTATCAAGGAAAAAAATTACAATAAGCTAAAGTTCATTCATTTTTTTTTTTATGTTGGAATCTCACTCTGTTGCCCTGGCAGGAGTACAGTAGCATGTTCACAGCCACCGCAGCCTTGACCTGCTAGGCTCAGATGATCCTTACAGGTAAACTTAGTGTAGCCTAAGTGTACAGCATTTATAAAGTCTACAGTAGTGGACACTAATGTCCTAAGCCTTCACATTCACTCACCACTCACTCATTGACTCACCCAGAGAACCTTCCAGTCCTGTCCTGCAAGCTCCATTCATGGTAAGTGTCTTATACAGGTGCACTTTTTTTTTTTTTTTTTGAGTTGGAGTCTCACTCTGTCACCCAGGCTGGAGTGCAGTGGCACACTCCCGGCCACCGCAGCCTCGACCTGCTGGGCTCCGGTGATCCTTCCGCCTCAGCCTTCCAAGCAGCCGGAACTACAGGCATGTGCTACCACACCCGGCTGATTTTTTGATTTATTGTAGAGACAAGGTCTCACCAAGTTGCCCCCGTGGGTCTCAAACCCACGGCTTCATGCAATCTACTCTCCTCAGCCTCTCAAAGCCCTGGGATTACAGGCTGAGCCACCGAGCCCAGCCAGGTATACTATTTTTTATCACATATTTTTGCTATACCTTCTAAATGTTTAGGTATATTTAGATACACAGATATTTTTCCATTGTGCTATAATTGCCTACAATATTCAGCACAGTAACATGCTGTACAGATTTGTAGTCTAGCTGTGTTGTAGAATCAACCATCTATATTTGTATAAGTAAGTACACTCTATGATGTTTTCACAATGGCGAAATTACCTAATGATACATATTCCCAAATGTATCCCTGTTGTCAAGCTACACATAAGCGTAATATTTCTTCAGGTAATCTATGCTAATGATATACTTTAAATATAAAGACATTATTCTCAAAGGTGTTCATTACAGTCTATTTGCTCCATTCCATCCTGCATCCTTCTTCTCTGGTAAGCTTTTTTTTTTTTTTAATGAAGTATATCATACATACAGAAAAGTAGGGAAATCATAAGCGAATAAGTTAATGAGTTATTTACAAAATAAGCACATGCATGCAATCACCAGTCTGATCCACAGTGTCATTTTTATTACAGAAAAAAATAGAACCAATGATAGGAGAATAATTAAATAAACTACGATTCAGCCACAAATGGAATATTATTTTTCCATGAAAATGATGGCTACTACAACTACAAAATCATGAAAAAATTAGAAAATGATGTTAAATATTTGGCCACCCATTACACTCCTATGTATATCCCCTAAAGCAGTGCATGGTTACCTGCCTAACCAGACATATCCTAATACTGTAATAGCTTCAACTTGGAAGCAACCCAAATGCTATTAGTACATAGTTAAATTGTGGCATAGTCATATAATGGAATATTATACAATAATGAAAAACAAACTATAGCTATATGCAGGAGTCAATCTTACAAACATAATAATGAATTTTAAAAAGCAAGGCACAGGGTAACCCTCTTTCAGGTCCCCTCCTGCTTGGGTGTTTTTGTTGTTGTTGTTGTTGTTGTTTTCTTAATAAACTTCTGCTTTCTCACCAAAAAATAAAAATGAAAAGTTAAAAGCAAGGCAAAAGAAAACAACAATGCAAGTACATTTGTGTAGAGTTTAAAAACAAAGTTAGCCGGGCTCGGTGGCTCAGCCTGTAATCCTGCACCTTGGGAGGCTGAGGTGAGTGGATTGCCTGAGCCTGCAGGTTCTAGACCCACCCGGGCAACTTGGCGAGACCTCATCTCTACTATAAATCAAAAAATTAGCCGGGCATGGTACCGCACACCTGTAGTTCCAGCTACTTGGAAAGCTGAGGCGGAAGGATCACTGGAGCCCCAGCAGGTCGAACTTGCGGTGTCCGGGAGCGACCACTGCACTCCAGTCTGGGCGACAGGGTGAGACTCTAACTCAAAAAACAAAACAAAACAAAAAATCAAAGTTAAAGTACACAGTTCAGGAGTACATATATGGTTGGCAATGGTATAAGTGTTAAATTTAATCAAGAAAGGAATTAAGCTACCATAAAATCAGGATAGTAGTGACCTTAGTGAAGTTAGGGGAAGCAAGGGGTAGGAGCTTCCAGCATTGTTTCATTTCTCATACTGGGTGGTGGTTACATTGGCAATCACTTTTTAACTATTTGTTAAACTGTACATAGAAGTGTTGTTAGGTATGCTTCTGCTTCTGTATGGATGTTAGACTTCATAATTGAATTTAAAAAAAAAAAAAGACCGAAGAGAAAGATATATAAATGTCAATAGTAGTTATAGTGATTATGTTTGGGTGGAAGGACTTTGGATGATTTTTCTCCCTTGGTATTTCTATCTCTCACATCCTTTTATTAAAAAGGACATTGCCTACGTAACTTCAGAAGCTTAAGAAAGTAGGCTTATTACTTGTAGTTTTCTTCCCTCTCCATTTGTTTGCTTGTTTGTTTATAGCCGGGGTTTTGCTCCACTGCTCAAACTAGAGTACAGTGTTACCATTACAGCTCACTGCAGCTTCCAACTCCTGGGCTCAAGTGATCCTCCCCTCAGTTTCCTGAGTTGCTAAGAATACAGGGATGTGCCACCATGCCCAGCTAACTTTTTAAACAGTTTTTTGTAGAGACAGGAGTATCACTTTTTTGCCCAAGCTGGTCTTGAACTCTTGGCCTCAAGCAATCCTCAAGCCTTGGCCCTACAAAGTGCTACGAATACAGGTGTGAGCCACCGTGCCCAGCCTCTCTTAAAAGTAACTTATACTGGTTTTATTTTTGTGAGACCAATTATTATAAAAAATATGAATAAGAGCAAATTTTATGTATTTATTGAATAGAGGGTCTCACTCTGTTGCCCATGCTGGAGTGCAGTGGAGATCACAACTCACCGCAGCCTCAACCTCCTAGGCTCAAGTGATCCTTCCACCTCAGACTCCCTAGTAGCTGGGACTACAGCCGCATGCCACCATGTCTGACTAATTTTTAAATTTCTTCTGTAGTGATGAGGTCGCTCTATGTTGTCCATATTGGTCTTGAACTCCTGGCCTCAAGCAATCCTCCCGGAGGCCTCATCTCCCAAAGTGCTAGGATTACAGGCATGAGTCACCGCACTCAGCTGGAAAATTAAATTTAGTCAATGAAACACTTTAATTAAAGTGTGCAATTGATATGATAAACAAGGCAAATATCTTCCACTAAAGATCTTGTTCTTGTCTCATTTACAACGCTCATGAGGAACAGGAACTTGGGAGGTTCCTATCTAGTTCTTTCCCTTGATGTTAGATCTGTTTCTGGATCTAAATCACTGGAAGGCTACAAATTTATATCATCCCAAATGTATTAGCACACCTAGATTTTACTGTGGATTAAAATGATGAGAAACATGGTACTGTGATTTACGTTTTGCTAATTCTTTTCTACTCAGCTAGAATGATAGTTGTGTTTTTTTTTCTTTAGAATTGAAGGAA